AGCAGTGAAATATAATGGGACAGACTTCAAACAAGAAGCAAAGATTTTTGCTTGAATCCACCGATCAGAGTTGTCCTAATTAAGGAATTAGATGGAGAAACATTTGTTGGACTCTCAGCTAATGGGGGTTGGAGTATTCTGATTTGACTTATGTGTCTGAAGTTTCTATTGAGAGTAACATGGGATCTCATTATTATAAGTGAAAGGAGAGTTTCATATTTGTACTTCAAGGGAAGATTATGTTCTCAAGGATGAATCAAAATCCAGCACAGAATATATTTTAGTATTATTATATTTCTTAAACATAATGTATTATGTTTTACCATCACTATTTTTTGAAGTCATTTTGATCATTTGTTTGGTCTCTGATTTAAGTGCCCTCTGTTAGCTATTAGCAAACTTTTGGAATTGGTCTCCATGACAACTAGCAAGAGGATTACAGAGCTCCCTAGGAATTTGGCCCCAATAATGATTCACTTCACAATTTGTCATCACTTCCTTCTTCGACAGAATGATAAAAATTAATAATGAATGGTGCAGTTAATTTTCGTAAATAACAATAATAATCCTTGCATTTGATATAGTGCCTTATCATATCTTCCAGACATCTCAAAGCACTTCACAGAATATACAACAACAACAACAACAAGATTCCATTTATAAAGCGCCTTTCACGTCAGGAGGACGTCCCAAGGCGCTGCACAGTTGGGTCATGACCCGAGCAGGGGGGAAATGGTCAGGGTGAGGGGAGGGAAGGGAGGGAGCGAGGAGGGGGAAACGGTCAGGGTGAGGGAAGGGAGGGAGCGAGGAGGGGGGAAATGGTCAGGGTGAGGGGAAGGAAGGGAGGGAGCGAGGAGGGGAAGAGAGTCGAGAGGGGAGCTGAAGGCACGGTCAAAGAGAAAGGTTTTGAGACCGGCCTTGAAGGAGGAAAGGGAGGAAGCAAGGCGAAGGCACTGGGGGATGGAGTTCCAGAGCCTCGGGGCTGAGAGGCTGAAGGCCCGACCACCGATGGTAGGGCGGTTGGGGCGGGGGACGTGGAGCAGACCGGAGCCAGAGGAACGGAGGGTACGGACAGGTAGGTAGGGGGATAGTAGGTTGGAGAGGTAGGAGGGAGCAAGGCCGTGAATGGCCTTGTAGGTGAGGATGAGGATCTTGAAATCAAGGAAATCAAGAATATACTGTAAAGTGGAGTGACTATGTATTTTGTATTTTGTGGGCGAAACAAGACAGCCAATTGTGCACAGCAGTGCCCCACAAACAGTCGTGGATTGAATGACTAAACTTTTATTATTATTAATATTTTGAAAGGATTTTTACGACCCAGAAAACCGATCCACCAATTCACTAGCACCTGTGTTCCTAATTACTTCTAGCTAACCGAGGCGTGTGTGTGGAGTAAGGAAAATTGCCTAGGGTTTCGCCCTGCCGGAAATCAAACTCAGGTCCTCTCGCTTGCGAGGAGAATACTTGATATTTATCCACGTGATCAAAATGTCTCAAAGTGCTTCACAGGATTTACTGTAAAGTGTTTGTGTAAAATGCCGATGAATGCACCACCAATTTACCCACAGCAGTGCCCCATAAACAGCCATGAAGAGAATGATTTTTTTTCAATTTTTCCCTTTACATCATTTTATATGGTTCAAGATGCATATCAAGACATACACTCGGAATCTGGGCTGACACCCCATTGTAAAAGCTGCATGGTCAGACGTGCTGTCCTTCAAGTGCAACATCAACCCAAGATCCGATCTCTTAGTTCAAATGAATGTTAAAAATTGCATGAAGCTATTCGAAAAAAGAGTTTCTCCCAATATGCTGGCCAACAACCTCTAGATTTAATAGATTAAATGGCTGCCACATTTGCCTCTATAAGCAATCTCTTAGCGTCACAGTAATTAGTTGTGAAGTTGTGTGTAACATAAGGTCACAAGAGATTTCCCAAATTTCCTGGTATACACCTGAAAATACTGAAACAAAGATCAGGCTGCATCTTTTAGGCGAATGGTTCAGAACTCTGCCACTAAAGAGGTTCCAAACTGATCTTGACCAAGGTCATGTACCATAAACACACTAAGCTTTCCTTTCTTCAGCTTTCATTCAATACATCAATAAAGCAAGACCTTGCCTGTGTTTCCTTCTATATTATGAGATATCTGTTCAAGGAAAAGTGTTGTTTCGCTGAAGTTAACAATGCTTGTTCCTGGATTAATTCCTGATGTTAGATAATCTATAAATAGCCATGTTCTCATCCATCTCATAAAGCATTACAATTAACAAAGGATAACAGATGTTTCTTTACTATCCTAGGTATTATTTAGACCAAAACACCAGAATGGTAACCATGATGTGCTGTTAATTCTTATAGTCTGTATCTAATGAAACATTGTGAATGATTAAATTACCTGTTTTATGAAAACCTCTTCACTGAATCAAGTAAAGAAAATGTAACAATGTTTAAATCAATAGCCAAGGGTTAACCTACAGATTACAGTTTGAACGAAACATGTTTGTAGAATGCAGAACAAAAACTAAGCACTACCCAGGTAATAGGATGATCTAATGGGACTTTTCTCAATATTAAATTAATGATGCCACTATCTGTTAAATCGGTTGAAATCTTCCATAAAACAGGTCAGATGTTTGCATCTGTGGAACAGATGGATATAAATGATGACTCAAGTACTCTTGCCCCAGGGGGGGGGAACATGTTCTCTTATGTTCCCAGACAGCCAGGCTGCATACTCATCAGAACTAACTACTCACTCCAAAGATTTATAGACCTCCAAGTCACATGATTTCAGCAGAGCTTATTATTTCGCCCCATAAAATACACAGTCAATTCACTTTACAGTATATTCTGTGAAGCGCTTTGAGACGTCTCGAAGACATGATAAGATGCAATATCAAATGCAAGGATTATTGTTATTATTATTTATGCACTCCAGGGTTAAATCTCTAAAGCCAGCAATAATTTTGCAGATAAAAAATATTATATTTGTTTCTATTTCCCTTTAACTCAGAGATACAAAATTGATTACTGTGACAACAAAAAGCTGTTTCCATCTCCACAAAGTTCAGGGTTAGAGCAGAAATTCACCTGGAGACTCCTCATGTAATGTGAAGTAGGCCCCTGACCTCTATGTACTACAATTCAGTACCAGGTAGTCTAAGAATTTCAATCCGTGTGCATTGTGTACAAAGCCAACAAGTGTAAGTTAACTGCTGCATAAGGAATATGATTTTTTTCAAAACAGAGGTTCAATTTAATATAAAACTAAGTTATATCACATTTTACAGCGATTGAACTTAAAAATTATTGGACTTCTCCAATAAAGTGCTTTTTTTATTTTAGGTTTAATTGCTGTCTAGTATATAATACTCTCTGTCTGGTATATTTATAGGAAGTAAGAGATTTATTGTATGTTCTTTCAATACTTTTCTGTGACAGTGTTCTAGAATTTAGTAAAATTCCTAACACGGTTAAGTACAGAACATAAAGATGATTAAGATACATAGATAATAGTGGCAGGAAATGCACAGCTAGTTCTGCACAAAGATCCATGGAGGAAGGGCATGTCGAGTACACCATCACCTTCATTTTCCATCTTCCAAGAGTTAGCTGTCTAACTCCAGATTCGGAATTCAGTATATTCAGCCATCTGAGCTTAGCAAAGTATAATAATCTCCCAAAAGCTATAGATTGTGCTGTTCAGCGACATGTGGGTTGGTTTCAAGGCATCATGAAAGGGAGCAATGAATTCTGTGTTGCTGGGGCTGGGGCTGGCTGGGAGAAATATCCTTAGAGGGAAGGAGGCTTATATTGAACAGATCTGGGGATGCGGGGGATGGATTCATATTCTGAAGTTCTGTTATTGCTAGAGGTAACATATCAGGTTTGTCCTAAACTTGCCCTACACTGTCCTAATCCTGCCTCTCTTGTCCTGTCTTTCAACAACAAGGCAGCAAAGCTGGGTATTGTTCTCTACTGCTGCTGCTGTAGACGTTTACATCAATTTTGAAACAAAGCAAGAGATTGCTATCACACATGAATCTGTGGGGTCACAGTGCGTGAAAGTGAGATCAGTACAGATATGAAAAATAATACTAAAGGCACACCTACGAGGAGTCAGTCAGCTGTGCACCAGCAAAACTCTTTACTGTGCTTTTTGCTGTGCGGTGCCTCAGAGCATTTCATTTATGCTGTTAAGTACTTATCTCACGTTTTCAGTCTAAAGCAACATTTTTCTCCCTATTGTTGGTGACATACGATATTACCATCCTAGCAGGATGCGTCTATGCTATTTTAAAAACAAACATTACAAGTCATATAAAAGTAGCCCAGAATGATTATTCTCCTCCTCCGAGCTTTTGCTTGATAAATCCCCTGGGAAATAGTGGGCTCAGGTTCATGTACCACCTCTCTGACACAGTATGTTGATTCTTGTACTATATATAATTTTCAAAGCTGTGTATTTGTGACCTTTTTGTGATGTACAAGAAAATACCAGACAATGAAAACACTTATTAAAGAAGCTATTTTCAAAACCATAATGTATTTAGAGATCCACAAAAATATCCTAAAAGAGATTGCAACATCAAGAGTATAAAAATCTTTGAAAATAAGATGTTAAAAATAAACATCTTAAGTGGTAATGTTAAATGACTCAAGTGACAATGAGGTAAAAAAACAAATCTTCCTTTACCAATTGATGTGCATATTTTACTTTCAGAACACTGAGTCTCCGAACATTCAACTGGGAACTGGCTGTGCCAAATCCTGCATTGTATTGTAATTGTCAGACCAATGTAGAAAAAAACTGTTGTAAAACTATTAAAAACAGCCAGTTGATACAGTAGCCTAATACCCACGGTTCCCTCCCGCTCCGCCCCAGTTCGGCAGCGTGCTCTGCCACCATCAAGCGCTCTGGGACGCTACCCCGAGTGAAGGGCACTATAAAAATGCAAGTTGTTGTTGTTGAACAACTGAAATAACCTACCTTCCATAACATATACCAAGGATCCCACATCACCCTCTTTGATGATACAGCTGTCTTTGCCAAACTCCACTGGGTACATGCAGTCAACGATCTCTTGAATCTGTGACAGTTCAAGATTTTTCATGAAGTCATTGTCCAGTATTGCTTCCTTGATCAATTCCTTAGACCTAAGTAAAAAGGGAAAATATGTTAATAGATTGTTTACAGATTTGCTAAAAAGCAATATAGGAAAATCAAATATGTCCTGCCAGAAAAAGAGATTGTGAACTCCAACTAAGACGTCTGAAAACATGTTTTATTTTCAATTAAACATGTAGTAATTGTGAGAAAATGAAGGACTGAAATATTTTTGTCCATTACAAAGCATGACAAAATTATTAATCTAGCTTTAAATTTTCCCCCAAAAATTAACATTTCATGAGCCTCTGATAACTTTGATATACTCTTTATTAATGCCAATGAAAAAGTAGCAATGAATGATAAGGCCTAGAAATATACAAAGTATTCAAACTTCACCAGCCTCTCAAAAAAAAACAATTAATAAATTGGTCATTTTCAATCTACGACTGTTTGTGGGACATTGCTGTGCGCAATTGGCTGCCGCGTTCGCCCACAAATATACAGTCAATTCACTTTACAATGTGTTCTGTGAAGCGCTTTGTGACGTCCTCCCGACGTGAAAAGCGCTATATCAAATGCAAGGATTATTATTATTATTATTAAACCTATTGTTCACATAAATCAAAACTATCACCTCCTGTTTAGTGCATAATGTTCAAAGGATTAATGATAAGCACGGACCAGGTTGGACTGATGGAATCCCTATGATTTCTCAAACCAGCCAGTGTTATACCATTTGTATACATAGGAGTGCACCTTATTGTAAACCTTACATTGTACTCTTAATTTATTGCAGCTCTGTAAATTGACGGAATTAGTCTCTTAACTGATACTTGTCAGCATTCAGTAAATTTTCACTTCATAAAAGTATGATTACTATTCCATCAAAAATAATAATGATTTAATGTTTGTGATTTTATTTATGTGCACTGAATTCTACAATAAATTTGACATAGCAAATTTGAATTACTCAGAACTATAGGAACACTTTTGTACTGCTTTGACTGTTTTGATCACCTAATTATTGTACCCAAGTAGATATATATTTACATTATATTTGAGCTTAAAACGTGTAGTACTTTCTGCTCTACAAAATAGTAAAAGTGCTCTGATCATTTTTGGCAATATATAAAGGTTGGAGCGTGTGACAAGACAAAACATTTAACAGCTCTAAATGCAACTTGAGCTGATTTATAATAATAATAAGCCTTGAATTTGGTATAGCACGCCTTATTACGTCTTTGAGATGTCTCAAAGCACTTCACAGAATATACTGTAAAGTGAATTGACTGAATATTTTGTGGGCGAAACACAGCAGCACAGCAGTGTCCCATAGTCAATCATGGATTGAGTGATCAAATTATTATTATTTTTTAAAGGGATTATTAACCCCGAAAAAGCAATCTGCCAATTGACTAACAACTGGGTTCCTACTTACTGTTAGGTAAACAGAGCCATGTGGAGTAAGGAAACTTGCCCAACGTTTCGCCCTGCCTGGGAATCCAACCCAGGTCCTATCGCTTGCGAGGCAAGTGCTCTAACCACTGAGCTACAAGTCGCCAACTCCATCTCAACTCTGAGATGTGTTACATCCCTGAAGCACATTTAAACTTCTGATATTCAAAATTTATGCATGTAAAGATTATGTTCTATTGTTGAAAAAAAAAACTAATTCTTCTTCATTCTAGTTGCTTCCAGTGTTAAGGTCTGCCATATTCTTTCAGCTTCAATTTTAACCAATATGGTAATTACCAATAAAACACCACTGGGCGACTCCTAAAACCATTCAACTTCCATTATTTTCGACGAGAAAATTGGAAACCTACATCCTATTTGTGACATGACATAGCGACCTATATGTATGCAGGAGCCAATCCAATCTAATCTAATTGACTACCTTGAAAGTGAAAATCAGTCAGTGACAGTCTGAAAGGAAATGATGGCTTGATAGATGAGATCATTAATGGGAAACCAGAACAGCAATGTATTTCCCATTGAATTGTGATCCTTATAACATCTGAACAACCCATTTGCCAATGTAAGCAATGCTTCTCACATCAAGCTGAAAAGCCAACGATTGAGCTCAACCAGTGAAGCAAAAATCATGTTTGAATCAAAGGTTAGAAAATCTGCGATAATTCATGGCGATTGCTGTAAAAATAGTGCGGTTAAATTCAGAATGGCAACGGTTCACTACTTGTGTTCAGGAAAATTGTAAATTTCTGCACGTAAAAGTGATTAATTGCTGAATATTTGTTTATTGTTTCACCCACAAATATACAATCAATTCACTTTACAATATATTCTGTGAAAAATAATCCTTGCATTTGATATAGCGCTTTTCACATCTTCTAAACGTCTCAAAGCGCTTCACAGAATATACTGTAAAGTGAATTGACTGTACATTTGTGGGTGAAATGCGGCAACCAATTGCACACAACAGTCATTGATTGAAGTGACCAATTTTATTGTTTGTTTGTTTTTCTTAAGGGATCATTATTATCAGGCATGTGGAGTAAGGAAACTTGCCCAAGGTTTTGCCCTGCCGGGAACTGAACCCAGGTCCCTCGCTTGCAAGGCGAGTGCTCTAACCACTGAGCTACAGGACTCCAAGCATTGCAAAGTGCTTTGAGACGTCTAGAAGATGTGAAAAAGCCCTATATCAAATGCAAGGATTATATTATTTATTATAAAGTACAGATATTTACTCAGCATCACGTGGTGTTGTAAGTTGAATGGAATAACAAATAATGAAAAATGACATGTAAAACTGGCCAAATGCTGATGAGGGCAAAAGAATTCATAGGACTCCTTTGTGATACTGTATAGTTTGCCTTTGAAATAAAAGACAAAAGCTTATAGTGTCAGCTGCAATGCATTAATATAAGTGGCAAAAGTGCTAGAAATTCATGAGTTACGAAGCTGAAAAAATGGCGGGCAAACTATCTACATTTCTACAAATACACCATTTGTACAGTATTCTATCCAGGCCAGAGATGGAGGCTGTATATCAGTGTTTTATGAACATAAAAATGGGAGGATTGCAAGAACAAGGTGGAAAATTGGTTTGAAAAGTAATCCTTATACCTACCTAACATGGTCAATGCAACTAAGGAGTGAAGATATATTTTGAGAGGAACAAAATCACAGCCTTCTAATTTAATGGGTGAAAGAAGATGAGTCAAATATATGCAAGAGATGTGATGAATTCTATCAACTTTAAACAGTCACAATGTAATGTTGAAAGCAATTGAGGCTTTTCAGGGTATAGTATAACTTCACATCCTGCTCCTGGGAGCAAAATTCTGCAATATATTTTACGAAGACAGTGAATATAGCACATTTTCAAGGATAGGTCATATCTACCTGGCCCATAAAGGTAATGATGCACTGTATATTCATCTGATAGATGGATTTATAACTGTGCCTGAGGACTGAAAGTGAGCGACATAAATGGATTTGTTAAGGCGAATAGAGCATTGCAACCAGACTTGCTGCAGCACATATTCCATATTTGTGAGGCAGCACTGTTTCGAAGAAGTAGCAACGTACCAGGCAATGGCTGAGCTGAGAGAGACTCAGCCACTGAACACAATGCAAGTAATAATGGGGCAGAAATGTACCTAGTGCTACACACAAAGGATAGGAATATCAGTCTCAATACAGAGACTTCATTATCATCTGGTTAATTCAACTGCCTAAGAAGGGAATGCCTTACTGCAAAGGAGCTTTATTTCGTCACACAACACAAGCTGCAGCCAAAGACGGAGACTTCAGATGAAATCCTCACAAATTCATCCACCAAAGACTTTGCAGGCACTATGAAGTATACTGGAACTAGCTCACTTTAGCTCACCTGCTTTTGTGATTGATAATTACAATGAGGACAGCAGCTGGTATCTCATGCACAAAATACACAATCAAGTCACTTAACAGTATATTCTGTGAAGCACTTTGAGACATCTCGAAGAAATGGTCAGGCACTATATCAAATGCAAGGAATATTATTATTACTATTATTAATTACCTGGGTGGCTGATTGGGGCCAGGCTATTAGACTCATTCAAAAAACAGCTTGTGCTGTTATGGTCACATTACTATTCTAGTAAGTTTAGAGCCAGGAAACTGGACCCATTTAACAAGCAGTTCGATATTCTAATAGGAGTAAGGATGAGTAGAGTGAGATGAAATCAGCCAAAGAGCCTTCTTCACCTGAATCACTCTTGTTATCCCGTGATCTTGTGACTTTAATTACATTACAAACTAGTGACTGATACAAAATGTAATGAGATTCAATAGAATAGATTCCGAGGGTTTAGGTGCTGTAGCGGTAAGGATTCTGAATAATTTTCTGGATGAAACTCAAAAATAGAATGGGAGAACTGTAATGGCTAACATAAAAGTTGTAGCAGTGAAGTGAGCTGATTTATTTGCTTCAAAAACAGTTTTAGATATGTTTGATAAAGCTACGGGCTAATTTATATTTCGATTCCATTGCTATGAACTAGGTGAGAGATCTTACTATAACTGGGTTTCCGTGCCTAGTCTTCACATCAGTACATTTATTTCACCTTCCCACTTGTCGATACGCACATGTGGCCACGACACAAGGAGGCCTGAAAATCCTGCTGATTTAATGATTCATGCTGACACTTTGTTCAGGTATGCATAGGTAACAAACGCCTACACTTTTAGAGTGAGCCAAAAAGACATTCTGCATTGCAGTTGGTGTTTGTACATTTTCCCTGATATCCTTCCTGCACAAAACTATCAATAAATGAATAGTTCGTCAGTAAATGAATTTCATACACAAAGTGATTTCCATTGTGACACAGCTTGCTGGTTTTGTTTAACCAAGGCTATTGACATCCCAACAGAATACATGGATCAACATTTCTACTGAGTGATGAAGCTACTGAAGCTCGGGAGGTAATGAAGTCTGAAGGAAAGAGGCGTCCAATGTTTTGTTAGCCAATGTTTGTACCTGAGAATGTTATCCCTTTGCTGAAATGAATGTAGGTTTTGAATTTTAAATTACTCCTATTTA